CTAAAATTATTTCAAATAATAAATGTAAAGGAAGCCACCAAATTGATTTCTTCATCCAGTTTGGGGATTTTGACCAACTTCTATATGACTGTACAATACTCCCATTATGGATGTCCAACCTCACTATTATCATAGCTAAGTGGTTCAGTTAATTCATTCTCAAATCAATATTTTAGTTATAAACCATCACCTCAGGCTCTTACAATTTTATCCTGTTTCTCTCCATTGTCATCAAGGTTTTCTGGTAAATTTCATAATTCCCCAGAGCTTGAACTTGCCTCAACAGTGGCTCCATTTTTAATTGTTAACATTTATTAGAGAGATGGACTTCATTATTGAAAATTCAAACAGACAGACAGTGAAAGTTATTAGTTAAAGTGATTTGCAAGATGTTAAACATATCAACATGTAGTAGACATTTAGTAAACATTTGACGAATGAATAAATGAACTAATGAATAAATGAATGAGAAAATATTTCTAGACTTTAATATAAAGAAATGATACTTTGAGGAGGATTACACCTTTTTCTTACCTGAGCATAACCATCCACTTTGACAGTGCCCCTCTGGCTTTTCTTTGTAATTGTAAATATATTCCAGTTTGAATTATGCATGAGATATTTATTTCTCTCCATTTGTTCAAGCACCACACCTGGGTCAGGCAGAACTTACTTTCTGCAAACCGCATGCTCAGGCCTTGTCAAAATTGCGCATCAGTTCTGTGCATACACAGAAAAGAGAAGATCCTGTGGCACTGAGCTTGGAATCAAGCTTCATTCTTGTACCTGACACCCCACAACTCAGGACCTCTGCTGAGATCCAAATCTTTCCTTCCTGGAATCTTTGACCAGGCATATTGATCTTTTCTTCCCAGACCTATAGGTCTAGACTCTGGTTTCTCCACACCTCTCCTCTGGGTTTCTGATCCCTGTTGCCTGACTTCCCCGTTGCCTGCCTTAGCTGCTGAGACCCATTGTGAACGTTGACTGCTCCATGATCAACTAACTTCTATGAGCCAGAAATCTTGACCTAGTCCAAATTTCAAAACCAACCTCCTCATCCTATTATGCGCTTTTACTATGTCCAGTGTCACCTGGTATTTTAGCTGTTCATGAAAGGAAAACCAGGGCAGATGCACTGCCTTTATGAGTTAGTGCCTGAAGTGGCCTTTCTCTTGTCTACAATACAGTTGCATCTCTTTCAACCCCATTCCCACCCCCACTACAATTTCTCAGTAGTGAACTTTGCTTTCTCAGTAGTGAGCTTTGCTTTCCCTGAGCTTTGCTTTCTCAGTTTTCTCAGTTTAATGAACCACTTATTCAGGTCTTTCCAGTTCCCGCCAGCCTCCTTTATTTCCTAATTATAAATTTGTCCTCCTTTTTGGCCAGTGATTCCTTGAACTGGTACAGCAGTGAAAACAAACAAGTAAAAATAAGCAAGCAAACAAAAACAAGAAAAAGGCAAAAAAATGCTTTTTTTCTTGGATTGAAACATCTCATACTTATAACCTGCATGGATAATACCGACTAGGCATAATTCAACAGAGATCTCCAGTGTAAAAAAATCCTTTTGCTGCAAAAGAGGGGAAGTGTGATTGTCTTCAATTCCTCATGTTCTGAGAGCATGTACTGCACTTTAGTGCACATTAGAAAATTTCCCTGTTCAGGTGGATGATTCCCAAAAAAATACTTGCTCTGAGTGTTTGATGCATCGCAAGTTGACCCAATTCAATTCTATCAAACAGAGCCCAAGCTACCCTGCCTCACACTAAGCTAAGTACTTCCTAATTACAGTTGAACTTTCATGTAATATCTAGAAATCCAGAATCCAGTGGAATAATGTTCTAAAGTATAAGAGAAGTTATAAAATATGTGTGTGTTCATGTAAGGCAGGCCTCTTGAGTTTTCCATTTTCCTCCCCCTTAAATTCTGATTACTTATTGCTCCTTGTGGCAGACTATTTTTGGAAAAGGCACAACAGTTGCTTCATGTTTAATACTGAACAGGAAAAGTGAGATGTTGACCTCCAATTTTTATTTTTCTGTGTACATGTCATTACATATTTGTCTAAACCCCTAGGATATACAACTCCAAGGGAACCCTAAAGTAAACTCTGGGCTTTGGGTGATAATCATGTGTCAGTATAGGCTCATGGATTGCAACAAGGGTACCACTCTGGTCAGAGGTGTTGATAATAGGGGAGGCCAGGTGAGGGGGACAGGAGGGATATATGGGAAATCTCTGTTTTTTATCTCAATTTTGCTATGAACTAAAACTGTTCCTAAAAAAATAAAGTTTTAAAAAAATGTTTTAAATTATTCTCATTCAGACCATCTAATTCTTAATAAAAGACAAGCATGGCTGGAAAATGGTATGGAATATGCAGACACACAGGGAGAAAGCGTGCATGCTGCAAGTTTCCATGTGTCTACTTGAGAATTTCCAGATGCAAACGAAAAGAGAGAGATTGCAGACTAATCAGATGAACTCGCTTTATTTTACATTTTTACAGTTGCTATGTATTCTTCCCCCCAAAGTAAGAAACCCTCATCAGTGAGAAGCGGGAGGTTGGAAGAGGAGTGATATAAAAATCCTAGATAACTGACATCAAATATTCCAATTTATAGTGTTTCAAACTGTTGCAAGCATTTTTCTCTTTTCAGACAGAGCAGACTGAAGACTGATTTCCATCCAAATTTTGAAAAATAAAGCTGATCCTCCAACCGGGTGAGAGAAGAGAGAAAATTCTTGTTTTATAAATTAGAAGGCATATGACAAATGGAACAGTTCTAACCAGAGACTTTTTTTTTTTGGCACTATTTTATATTTGGTATTACAATATGGAAGTGTCTTGTCCTTCACATGCGATTAGTGCCGTGGGAAAGTTGCTCTGCAATTTCTACTCACATTCCAGTCTTTGAAGGGACTTAAGACAAATGTGACCCATGTGACTCATTTTACACTGCTGAGAGAAATCGACTGTTCAAAATCCATCCTTCGATTTTGAGAGCCATGATTATAAAAAGTCAGATGAAAACAAATATTTGAGAAAGCCTTCCCTAGCAAATGTATCAATAATTGACAGAAGAAAAAACTCTAAAATCAAACGTCATAATTAAAGTGAATAAAGTACACATTTTAAGCATAATTCATAACTGAATTACAAAAGTAATTGTCATCATATTTTTATTGCTTAATCAATTTCCATACTCAAGTACACTAATTCCCACCTTCTTTTTGGTGTGACTTTTTTTTCCTTCGGGGCAACTTAGTCTTGATGTTTTTTCAAATGTATTCTATTTATCTAATTTATGTGAGCTCACGAAAACATTATTTGGTCTTTCTGCTCCAACAGATATGAAAGAGAAGGAAAGACCAAACAGAGGACCCTTAACGGGAAAACAGAAATCAAAGCAAATAACCAAGGGAAAAAAATAAGACATTAATTCTTATGATAATTTAAAAAGTAAATAAAATAAGGAAACTAGCAAAAACTCCTCAGCAGAAATTATTCCCAAATTGCTCAATATCAAGGGCTTACACACATTATCGAAATTCATTTAGTCAAAGGGTACATGTAAGCCTTTGGGGTGATGGAAGTGTTTTGTATCTTGATGGTGATGGTGATCTTACAGGCATATTAAACTGTCAATATTCATCAAACTGTACACTGGATGCAATCTATTACACATAAATTACACCTCAATAAACTTGATTACAATAAGAAAGCAAAACACTTGTTTATGATCCCTAGATAAAAGTTAAGTGCAGTGAAAATAAATGAACTATAAGTGATAGCAAATATTCACATTTCACAAAAGTCATTGCTTTAAAGGTACACTTATACTCCAGTATTTCTCAGTGAGGTTTCAAAAATCGTGATATGTAATAAATGTGAGGTATCACAGGCACCATATTCATTTGCAATCACAAGGAAAAGCAGATATAATAGTTTTTGACTTTTTGTTATTTCATTTATGTATCAGTCTGTTTTCACACTGCTGATAAAGACATATCTGAGACTGGGAAGAAAAAGAGGTTTAATTGGACTAACAGTTCCACATGGCTGGGGAGGCCTCAGAATCATGGCAGGAGGTGAAAGGCACTTCTTACATGGCGGCAGCAAGAGAAAAATGAGGAAGAAACAAAAGCAGAAACCCCTGATAAACCCATCAGATCTCGTGAGACGTATTCACTGTCACAAGAATAGCACAGGAAAGACCGGTCCCCGTGATTCAATTACCTCCCGCTAGGTCCCTCCTACAACACTTGGGAATTCTAGAAAACACAATTCAAGTTGAGATTTCGGTGGGGACACAGCCAAACCATGTCAATCTACAACTTAGAGTTCCATCCTCTCAGTGCTGGAAAAGTTGGAATGTTTCATATTTTATGGTAGAATAAAGTCTACAGATTGGAAGATAAGACACTGAAGTGCATTAACCATCAAAAACTGTGAAGAAGGCCAGGCGCCATAGCTCACGCCTGTAATCCCAGCACTTTGGGAGGCCAAGGCGGGGTCAGGAGATCGAGACCATCCTGGCTAACACGGTGAAACTCCGTCTCTACTAAAAATACAAAAAATTAACTGGGCGTGGTCGCACACACCTGTAGTCCCAGCTACTCGGGAGGCTGAGGCAGGAGAATCGCTTGAACCCAGGAGGCAGAGGCTGCAGTGAGCTGAGATCACGCCGCTGCACTCCAGCCTGGGCGACAGAGCAATACTCCATCTCAAAAAACAAACAAACAAACAAACAAAAAACTGCGAAGGGTCTGAGAGTTCACCCTTCTCGCAAACTAACCAGTTAGCCAGACAAAAGTTTCATGAATGCTGGTAGAAGACACAAGACTCCCGGGTCACAGAAAAATAACAGTTTAGTGCTCATGACAATAGCAGTAGCCAAAGTATTAGCATTTTTTTGTACCAGTTAACCAGGCCTCCATTTTTGCAAGGTGATGCAAAGAGAACCAGATGGTACCTTCAGTGATTGTGCTGTAGAAGAGGAATCTTGAATTCAGGGAACCCGAATCCTTTATAATGGGCAGTGAGCATGCCTGGCCTTTGCTCCAGAAACACTGTCTCTATGTTCCAAGACTGTTCACAACACAAATATCCCTGAAAAGATAGTTCAGAATGAAGGGCAGTTAGTTGCTCACTCACAAGAGACGCAGAAATACAAAAAGTCTGTGGAGAATTGACCTCCAACAATAACAATTTAATCATTAGGAAAGTACTTCAGGGTACCTTGAATTCTTCAAAGAAAATGTTGGCTAATTTATTAGAAACCTCTGCTTTTCCAGGTCCAAGTTTTACACTAATACGTGTATATAAAAGTGCATACATTTTCTCAATTTGAGTCAAAATACCAAAAACTACACAACAACATTTGTATTAATTAACAGAAAACAGACATGGCAAGGAATAGCACACTACATGCATGTGCTGGACCTCCTTGTAAATCACCTCATGTAATCAATGACAATCCAACTGTTACCATCTATTTCAAATGATGAGTTCTTGTCCATGAAATTTATTTCTTATTTATCGAGGTAACAGGAGTAGAAATTAATCAATCTTCAAATCAGCTTCTCATAATCACAAAGTACATTTTATTAATGTGCTAGAAGAACAAATATTGGAAAGTTTTATTTGGCCTCAAACTTGACCCTACTTAGAAATAAGGTGACAGTATACTGCATTTCAAAAAATATACATTCCTCATCAGCTCAACAGCCCAAGCCAAAATATACATCATCCTAGATTCCACTCTCCTTGTCACTCTTCTCACATGCGGTCAGTTGCCCACTTCTGCCATCTTTGTTTAATAAATAGTTATTATATCTGCTTCCGAGCAAGGCTGTGCCTTTTATTTGTATCAACTGCACCTCCCATTATGCTGATGCATAGTCAGCACACAATAAAGGTTTGTGAAACGAACAAATAAAGGTTTGTGACGTTTATCGACGTCAGAAAACAATGCACGTGGGAATGTAAATTGGTACATCCATTATGGAAATCCATATGGAGATTCTTCCAAAAAATTTGGAAAGAACTACCATATGATCCACCAGTCTCGCCTCTGAGCATACCACATATATCCAATGGAAACGAAATCCATGTGTCAAAGAGGTATCTGCATTCCCATGTTCATTGCAGCATTATTCATAATAGCCAAGAGATGGAATCAGCCTAAATGTCCAACAATGGAGGGATGGATAAAGGAAATGTGATATATATGCACAATGGAATACTATTCAGCCTTAAGGAAGAAACCCTGTCATTTGTGACGTGGCTGAACATGGAGGACATTATGTTAAGTGAAATAAGCCAAGCATAGAAAGACAAATATCACATGTGGAATCTAAAGAAGTTGAACTCACAGAAGCAGAAAGTAGAATGGTGGTTACAAGGGACTGGTGGGGAGAAAGGTGGAGTTGGAGAGATGTTTGTCAAAGTATACAAAATTTCAACTGGACAGGAGTAGGAAGTCCAACAGATCTATTGTGCAATATGGTGACTACAGTTAATAACATTGGACAGTATTGTATTCTGGAAAATTTCTAAAAGAGTAGATTGTAAGCGTCCTCACCACAAAAATCATAAATATGCATATGATAATTAGCTACATTTAGCCATTCCAAATGTATGCATATTTTAAAATATTACATTGTACACAATAAATGTATATAATTTTTGTTTAATTTTTTCAAATAAGCTTTCTAAACAGAAAACATCATTAAAAATGAAAAGGAAATTTTAAAACCACAGTGCACAAAGAGAGATATGGAAAAAATTGATTTTCTTGGCAAACATGGATTTTATCTTTCTAACAATTATAGATATTTTCACACAATCGATAATACAAGCATATGTTTTGTGTACTGGTAAACACAAACCCCATTCAAAATGGTGACATTTTTTCCTCCATCTCCTGTTAGCAATCTGGTTGCACTTACCTGTTAAACATTAGTTTCCTAGAGAAGAAGATACTATCATTTCAAACTGCAGCAAACAAAATATTCTACAGGACATATAAATCCTGTATAAAACCTGAACTTTGAGCTATGAAATTCTGGTGGCTTTCTCAACCCAGTCAGTATGACACTGTGAAATCTAAGACTATACCAGAAATGCTCATTCATTTTAAGGTATGTGTGTTTATTTAAGGCTATTTTGCTTTTAACCAAGTGGGTATCCTCAAAATATACAGCTTCTACTGGGGAGGATAAAAGGAGAAAAATCAAAGTTTAATCTCCAGTTCTCATGGGAAAAATCTGAAGAGCAGTTGTCCTCCTTTAAAAAAAAGTTAATAAAAAATATTTTCATGAAAAGATAAGATCCTGGCATGTTAAGACAATTTAACCATTTTAATCTGATGCAATCATTTTCTCTAAAATAGATACTGTGTTTGCTATCCAATGGGCAGTGGTTTGGGAGAGCGTTTCTGAAAGATCCTTTGGTTAGTAGCCAGGACAGAATTTACCTCAGGAACAACAACATCCACACACAGTGACCATTCCCACTATTCTTTTGACTACACAGCTTACACTAAGGTAACAAAAACACCAGCTATGTTTTCAGGATGCAGTCAAGACCCCATCCAAAAAGAAAATAAAACTTACATTTTAAATTAACTTAAACGGTATGCATTAGAAGAGAGTGATTTTGCAATTGCTGGATCAATCAATCAGTCACTTGACTGTGACTTGAGAGGAGGTTTCTAGAAGAAATTCAAAGTTTGGATGAATGCCTGAGGGTAGTCTCTTCTTACCTTAATCCACACGTTTCTAACCCGTAATTATCTTAAAGTTATCGCACACACACACACACCACACCCTTTCTTGACTTCACTGAAACCCACTGTCCCCTAAGGATACTGCTTCTCCTCTCAAGCAGGGGCTGGGAGACGTTTTCCATCAAACTCGAAATATCCCAGTATCAGAACCAAGGCAGTGTCCTCCTGACTACCCAATGCCACTTGCAGACGAAAAACTGCACTCTCTTTTGTAAGCCGCTCCTTTGAGTAGTTGACAATAAGAGCCTCTTCTCTCTCCAGTCCTCACTTAATCATTTGGTCACTCCTTAAAGAATTTAGCACCCAACTCGTCGTCTTCTTTTCACCCAACCTTACCATCATGCTAAGCAGATTTAACATCACTTGGATGTACCATCAACACCTTGACCAGCAGTTCCTTACCCTGATACCCACTGATAGTTGTCATCATTCACCCCAAGCACCAACTTCCACAGTCACACCATGAATTTGGTCAACACTGGAAACTGCACTTCAGATAATTCTGCAATAACATGAATACCTTCACAAACACCACCACCACCACCTTCAGCTTCCCTTTCCAATGGCCTTGTTTTCGTCCCCTCATACAACATTTCTACCTATCAAGAACTGCAATCCAGTGACACTTCTACTTTCTCTACATTCATCAGCCTCCTCAGCTCTCTACACCTATCAGTACAATGTCACCTCCCTCCCCCGTGTCCACCTCCAACTCCTGGCTTAGTATTTTATCTGGCCTATTCCTATTCATCCTTACTCACACCGCTTTCTTAGAAAGGGGCTATCCATACTTGTAAGCTAGATGAAGTTCTTCTGTTAAGCCATCTTGTAAGTTCTTTGTGCTTTTCTTAGCTACTCTTCAAACACAACAATGAATCATATTGCAATTAATGTCATTGTGGATTTGAACATGGAAGGTCTCTTTTATCCTAGATTGTAAATTGGTTAAGAGCAGAGATCATGACTGTTTTACTCTCAATTATATATGTTGACTAACACCATGCCTGGCACATAGAAGGCACTCCAGAAATATATGTGGAGTCACACACACACACACACACACATACTTATGCATACACACTCATACACTTACCCACAAAGATTTCTTCCAGTTAATGGGTATCTGTATTATGCAAGCAATGTGAAATCAAAAAGAACATTTTGGGGTTTTTGCTGCCTAACACCAAAACTAATTGCAGCCACTCTTCAAAAAAAATGCAATAACTTTACAAACAGCCACATCCTGATTCTTACGGTAGAAAGCTCTCCATTCTCTGCTGAATATTCATCTGTTGGGAGGGACACTCACCAAGAAGCTCAGCACTTTCTGTAAAGAGAAGCAGCAAGAGAGGAAAGAAAGTCAAAGGCAGGCTCCTGCAATGCAAAGGTGCCAGGAACAAGGGTGCAATCCCAAGCTGTGTAACACAGGATGGAGGAGGGAGACCTCACTTTTATTGTAAACAGCAGAATTCTTTAAAGGGAGCTCCATTAGCAATCAGATCTCAAAGATGGTGGAAACATAAACACCTCCTTTCTCGTTAAGGCTAGGGGGCTCCAGCATAATTTCTCTGGACCAGGAAGATGGAGGAGTCTTACTTCTCTTCCCGTCCAACTGCATCCCGCACTCAATCCTAGATTGCACAAGGAAGTCAACACTACCTCCCCCTACACGCTCCAAATACCTCTCTTCACAGCGTTGTCAATAGATTCTCTTCATCCAATCTCGGAAGCAGTCTGGAAAAAGAAGCAGAAGAGAGAAGAAAAGGGAAAAGTTCAAAAGTACTTTAAACTCTGCCAAAAAAATCAATTAATACCAATATACACAGAGAAATGAATGACAGAAGTCACCGCAGCAATGTATTTCCTCATAACTCCTTCAACTGGCCAGGGCCAAACCAAGGTGTGCAAATAATCTGGGCAACTGTACACTTTGGCACACCTCTGCTATGTATGCATACCTTCAACATTTCTTTAGAGAAGAAGCTGGAAATTGCACAGGGCAGGACCAGGAAAGAACTGGCAGCAATGTTCAACTGCATGGCCAGTGCCCTGAGCTTTAGCCCCAGAGTTGTATGTCCTACTCCGAAGCCCTACAAGTCATAGGACTCATTCACCCCAGAGCCAGTGTATCCTATGTCTTTTTTTTTTTTTTTTTTTTTTGAGACGGAGTCTCGCTCTGTCGCCCAGGCTGGAGTGCAGTGGCCGGATCTCAGCTCACTGCAAGCTCCGCCTCCCAGGTTTACAGTGTATCCTGTTTCTTTGAGATCTCAGTCCCATCCCTCTAGTGGTATCAAAGTACCCTCCATGTACATATAGTGCTCTCTTTGAAAGGAGCCATGATAGACTTTAATCCAAATTTACAAATAGAAAAACTGGAGCCCAAAGAACTATACAATTAGCATAAATACTGGGACTACACACTGCCACATAATAAAACAGACAGCACCAAAATATATAATTAAGTATAACACCTATACACTAGTATAGGTCAAACAGCTGAATGATTTAAAGGAGTTTTGTTTTGTTCTGTTTTGTTTTGTTTTAATCAACTAGGTACTTCTTAATACAGTCACTTGGGCATGATACAAACAAAATCTTTCAAACTACAACACATCTTAGAAACAACAAATACTACTGCTGTTCACGTAGCAAGGAAAGTTACAAGTAAATCTCCCAATAGCTCAGGTGTAAAGAATTGTTCTAACAATATCCATTTGTATTAAATCAAATCACCAGACTAAGGCATCTATTTTGTACCGTTTACTCAGAGCAACAGACAAAAAGACAGGACTTTGGGTTTATTTATATAAACATTACAGGTAGTCCGAGGAGGAAGGAGTACAATGTAATTTGACGGTGGATGAATCTGCACAAAAAGGAGACTAAAAAAGAAAGGTTTTTGTGACCCAACACTCATGGGTTTACTTTTTAAAGTTGTGAGGAAAAGAAATGGCAAAGCTTTCTATTTCTGTAAGTTTTTGTTCTAAAGAATTGAATGAAAAATAACAATACCTAATCATCTCCAAATTACTTCAACTAAAAACACCACTAAAGACCTTATAATTTTTTTTTTTAAAGAATTCATTTTTCTTCCTTGGCCCTGAAAAAGATGATTTAAAAATAGCTTGATTTGCATCTTATTCTTTTACTGCCTTTCTACAAATACATTTTGAAATGCTTACTTACGGGAAAGCTGTTGCCTGCTTAGCTTTCATCATGTATGAGATCGCACTACTTCGCTCACCTGGAACTGTGGTGTTCTCTGTTCCCAGCAACGTGAAAGACCATCCAATAAGGAGCACCCTTGCTAAATGGTATGTTTAAAGTATGTATAGCTACACGTATTTTCAAAGGCATAACTGATTTCTCAAGAGAGAAGGGAACTCATGCCAGAAGCAAGGAAAAGATTGAAAGGCAGGCCTGGAAACAGAGCTGGCCCAGTAGCAGCTCCAAATATGGCAAAATGCTAGTGTTATTTAAGACACCAATACAACATCCCTGATGATGAAACAGGAGAAGTTCCCTTGCCCCCTCTCAGGGTGTGCAACAGCAGGAGGGGCTCGCTTCTTCCCTGCCCCACTGCTCAAACCTCTAGAGGAGCAGGCAGACGGCTGGGTTGTGGGATTCTAACCCAACAGCCGTGTCTAGGGGTGAACGATTGCAGCGGAAGCCCCAGTGGGCGTGTGTTACAGGGTGCTCTTTTAGTTTTGCCATCTGTAGGCGACTTGTGTTAGTCAGCTCAATTAGACCCCTGGCTTATCTCAAGGACAGAGGACTTTCTGTATCCTAACGTCCTTGCCTTGTTGTACCGCAAGAATCAGATCACACGTGAGCCTGGAGAATGAGAGCAAGGTTTTATTGAGTGGAAGTAGCTCTCAGCAGGCAGGGGAGGCAGAAGGGAGATGGAGTGGGAAGGTGTATTTCCTGGGGTCAGGCCACTTAGCGGCCTGGATCTCCTCGGACTGCCCAGCCGAACTCCACGTCCTTCCACCAGTCGGTGGCCTGCCAGGGTCTGCCGGTGCCTGTGGACGTGCTCTTCTTGACGTCCTCTGGATGTCCAGCCGCTTGTGTGACTGCCCACTAGGGTTTCGGGGTTTTCATAGGCACAGGATGGGGGCGTGGCGGGCCAGGGTGGTCTTGGGAAAAGCAACATTTGGACGCAAAGGCAGGAGTGCCTGCCCTCACCCAGGTCTGTGGGCACAGGCCCCAGGGTGGAGCCCTGGCCAGAGACCTGCCTTTCTCCTCCCAGCACTTCCCTGCCCCCCTCCCTTATCAATAACATCTGCATTTGTGGCTGGGTAACCAGGGTATTCTTCACATAGTTGCAAGCGTCTGGCCAATATATTGATAGGGTTTGGATCTGTGTCCAGGCCCAAATCTCACGTTGAACTGTGATCCCAGTGTTGGGGATAGGACCTGGTGAGAGGTGATCGGATCATGGGGGAGGATTTCTCATGGATGGTTTAGGACCATTCCTTTGGTGCTGTCCGCAAGACAGTGAGTGAATTCTCAAGAGAGTTCCGGTTGTTTAAAAGTGTGTGGCACCTCCGTCACTCTCTCTTTCTTGCTCCTGCTTCAGTCACACGAGGTGCCTGCTCCCATTTCACCTTCCACCATAAGTCAAAGTTCTCTGAGGTCTCCACAGAAGTAGACGAAGTAGACCCAATATGCTTCCTGTACAGCCTGCAGAACCATGAGCCAATTAAACCGCTTTTCTTATAAATTCCACAGCCTCAGGTATTTCTTTATAGCAATGCAAGAACAGCCTAATTGATACATTATGTCTTCAAGTGGGGGTGAAGACATGCTGAACATTTACTGCTTGAAATATCCATTATATGATAGTCAGGGTGTTGTATGTTGAAAGCATGTATGTATATAGCTTACATTATTAAAAATTATTGCTTTAGAATAGAAAAAGGAAGAGTGATAAAATATTAGGCTGAACCATATGAAATTGCTGATATTTTGTAATTTTTAGGCAACAAAATTCTCAAATGAGAGTTTTGGGTCCAATAAGTTTGCTTTGCCCGAGGCAACTTGCCTCACTACTGTAATTCAGGGTCAAGCCATGTCCGAGACCATCAGACATTTTGCACATCCAAGCATGACCACTCCATGCTATATTATGCTAAGACAGTCTCTATAACTTTCTCTGCTTTAAGTTACATAAGTCCCCTCTCTGTTACCCAACCTTTGTGGGTGCCAGGTCCTTGAAAGGAAGCTATAGGAGCAGGTAAAACTTCTTTCCATATTTCTTTGTGTGGAATTTTTACTTTTCAACTGTATACCAGATGTAAGGAAGTGTTCTTGCTCGAAGGCCATCTGTCATTGCAGAGGTAGGATAGATACACATAATGACAGAGTAGAAAAAAATAAGTACAGTGACCCAGGTTTAAATCCTGTCACCTGCTGTTATTGGTTGTGTTTCACTTCTTGACCTGCAGAATCCTTGTCTATAAAACTGAACTGGGGACCATGCCTAGTCATGTAAGTTCATTGTAAAATTCAAACAAAACGAAGTCTGTTAAGTATTTTGAAACGCCAAGATACAACCATGTCATCAGGGAAATTTACATAGAGAACAGAGTTGGGATAACATAATGCTAGAAAAACCAGAAAGCGATCGGACACAACGGTTCACACCTATAATCCCAGCACTTTGGGAGCCCAAGGCAGATAGATTGCTTGAGTCCAGGAATTCGAGGCCAGCCTGGGCAACAAAGCAAGACCTTATCTTTACAAAAAAAAATCATTAAAAAAGAAAAGAGAGAGAGAGAAAAAAAACTAGAGTGGGCCAAAGTTAAGAGCTCTAGAAGTTCAATTCCAAAAGGAATATTTATTCAGAATACATCAAAGGGTCTACTGGAATTGGAAACATAGTCATCATACTTAAGGATAAGGACAGTCAATTCCTTAGATGCAGGTCTTCTGAGTCAGTGGACTCCACACTCCTGGACTTGCATCCAGATTATCATCGACTTCTGTACTGATGCTTGCAGGAGATGCTCTGTAGACTCCCTGTATCTCTGGACACACAGAAAACAGGACAGTCAAGTTTTTCATGTTGGACAGTATGAATTTAATTTGTAATCTCTATTTGTCACATATATCCATAATGTTCTTTGTGATAGTCTCATCTGAAGCTTCTGGAAAAATAGGGGAAGATCTTATGGACTGTTAGATTGGAAAGACGTAACTGCCCAAGACTTCCTAAAAGTTGACCCTAAGGGGACTTGTGGTTATGAATAGAATGCCGTTGGTTGCAGGAGAACACAATCCTGTTAGACTAACTAAAGAAGACAAATTAATTGCAAAAAATCCATTTAAAGAGATGAGTGAATTATGGAACCAAAAAGAATTAAAAGAACAAAAATTCCAGAGAGCAGAGTGTTTTGGCAAGGTTAGCTACCTTTCACAGGCTATTTTCTTTCTTGGGATATTTGCTGATTTGAAACACAGATCAGATCTGGTTCATGCGGAAGCACTGTAGGAAGGAAAGAGGAGTGAGCAAAGCTTGTGGCATTCATAGAAGCAACCACAACAATTTGGAAACAAAAGTATCCCCACATGCCTTGCCAATTTTCCTATAGCACCCTTGCTAAATTGAGACTGAGTAAAAGGTTAGGAGTTTCTGCAAAGTAAGTTAAAATCTTCAGAAGTCCCATAATAATTGGGAGGAGAAGTTCCACTTGAGGAAAGGAATCTGCTCAGAACATGGCTGGTCTCCCCAA